ATTTCGAAGTTTATTTTAAAAGCTTGGTTCAGTGGGGTTACATAAAGGAAATTTCTCTCTACTTGAAATTCCATTAAATTTTGTGTCTCTTTAGTTTTTTTTCCAGTTGAGTAAATTGAGTCTTAGAGATTTTGAGTGTCTTCCAAAATCATACAGATACTTAGTGGAAGAGATGAGACAGAATTCAGTTTTGTTTTTTTTACTTGGTGTTCCAGTGTTCTACTACATCAGACTTCTCTCCTATATTTGGCCACTGGAGTGCATGGCATCTCTCCATGGTGCTAAAAGTGTACAAAATGTATAATATTTGGTTTTTTGTTAACCACTTTAAGGGACTTCTTGCTAGTTTGTCTGTCCTCTTCCCCCCCCCCCCCCCCAATCTGCAAGATTCATCCTCTTCCCAACTTTTTTAAAACTAAAAAAGCAATTAAAAAGCAAAACCTCAATATGTCATTTTTAATTTATAGTAATATTTTTTCTAGAAAGCTTTTCAGTTCATAAACTTTGTATATTGTTTCCTTTCCAGCATTCCATAAATTATTTCACTTAAAACTCTAATAAGCTATGGTTATAGAAATAAAATCTTTTTAAAAAAATATTTTATTGATTTTGTACAGAGGAAGGGAGAGAGATAGAGCGTTAGAAACATCAATGAGAGAGAGTCATCGATCAGCTGCCTCCTGCACATCCCCTGCTGGGGATGTGCCCACAACCAAGGTACATGCCCTTGACTGGAATCGAACCTGGGATCCTTCAGGCCCCAAGCTGATGCTCTAACCATTGAGCCAAACCGGTTTCGGCAGAAATAAAATCTTACAATCAAAAGTATATTAGAAGTGTTGACAACACCTCTCAATTATTTTAGTTTAGTTTCCTGTTGGTGGGACCAGTTTTTGAGTCGTATTTTCTATAGGTACAGTTTTTGGATATTCAAGTTGGAGGAGCCATTAGATCAGCTCTAAACTCCTCATTTTATATATGAGGAAACTGATTGTGGCAAAACTGGGTCTGCAAACCAAGACGTCTTAATTGTTTATAAATACATATGCCTGCCCTCCCTGTTTTTCTCCCTCCCTCCCTTCCTTCCGATTAGTTTAATTTTTTTTAGAGAGAGGAAGGGAGAGAAAGAGAAACAGCAATGTGAGAGCACAACATCAACATTAATCAGCGGCCTCCTGCATGCCCCCTACTTGGAGGATAGAGCCCGCAACCCCTGACTGGGGATCAAACCGGCAACCTCCTTGTGCATGGGATGATACCCAACCAACTGAACCACACTAGCCAGGGCCCATTTCTTTGTTTTTAAAACATTTTTATTTTCAAATAATTATAGGAAGGTATTTTACTTCATTTTTCTGTTTATTTTCTGCAATATATATTATTAACAAAAGTCATATTTAATTTTTCTAAATGAGATGAAAATAATTTCTCTTTTTTAAGTTGGCCATTTGAATGGCAAAAATGATATTTGTTGTAACAATTCAGATAATACAGATTTTTCAAAAAAAAATAACTTAGTAGTCTCCTTTCCTCCATTTAGTCTTTTGTGATATGGTAACAGTTTGGTATATAACCTTTCAAGTGCTTTTTTTTTTAGAGAAACAAATCAAGTATGTTAGTCTCCAACTTACTTTTCAGAAATAAAAAACACTGCATAATAGACATCTTCTGATTCAACGCACACATCTACCTTATTATGGCTATATAATCATTTACATAATGATTTCCCATCGGATTGTTTATAGTTTTCTACTTGAATGAGCAATGCTGTAAAACATATCAGAATACGTGGTGCACATGTATGAGTATGTAGGACAGATTCTTAGGTGGAATAAGGAAGTGATTTGTAACACAGATCCTGGGGATGAGTTCATGGAATGAATCCAGGCTGCACCACCTAATAGCTGCGCAATTTAAGGCAAGGTATTCTTTGTGCTCCCGTTTCCTCTTAAGGAAGAGGAACGTAGATCAGTGATAACATCTACTTTGTGGGGAAATTAACTTCTTTGGCAGACTGGTGGGGAAAATGCTGTTTTTACTGTTTATAAACTATAAAGGTTGATCACCATTTCATATATTGTAACCATTTATAATTCTTGTGAACTACTCATATTCTGTTCTCATTTTTTCTTTTGATTTATTTGCTGTTTAAAAATTGCTTTACACAATTTCTTAATTATTTTGGACACTAGCCCTTCATTACATATAGTGTATATATCCTTTACTCTGTTGCTTGCCTTTAATTTTATGTAGTTTATTTTTTCATGTTGCTAAGTTGATCATATATCTTTCTTTAGGGCTTCTGAATTTCTGCTTTTGCTTAGGAAGATCTTTTGTATCCCAAGATCTGAAAAATTCTATGACTTTTTCTTCTAACATTTTCTTTAATAGTTTATTTCAATGTATGTTTCTTTAGGCAGATTTTGGGTTTTATTTTGATGGTAGTGTGACAGATATATACTGTTTTTTATTTTACTTTAAACATGTTTTTATTGATTTCAGAGAGAGGAAGGGAGAGGAGAGAAAGAAATATCAATGATGATAGAAAATCATTGATCATGAACAAAAACAGACCCAGAGAAAGAGAAGCAGCGATCAGACTCTAAAACCTCAGAGGGAAAGTAGGGGAAGGTGGGGGTAAGGGGAAGAGATCAACCAAAGGACTTGTGTGCATGCTTATGGGCCTAGCCAATGGCCATGGACAACAGGGGGGTGTGGGCATATGTAGGGAGGGGTTTGGGATGGAAATGGGGGGATGAGGACAGTTATGTGATACCATAATCAATAAAAATAAATAAATTAAAAAATCATTGATCAGCTGCCTCCTGCACACCCCCAACTGGAGATCATTGGCATGTTCCCTGACCGAGAATCAAACTGTGACCTCCTGGATATAGGTTGATGCTCAATCCCTGGACCACACTGGCGGGGCGATGCTGTCTTTTTTTTTTTTTTTTTTTTTTACTTAAAATACATCAACCATTATCCTGTTACTGCTTATTTTTTAAAATATATTTTTATTGATTTTAGGAGGAAGGGAGAAAGAGAGGGATAGAAACATCAATGATGAGAGAGAATCATTGATAGTCTGTCTCTTGCACGCCCCCTACTGGGTATTGAGCCTGCAACCCAGGCATATGCCCTTGATCTGAATCAAACCTAGGCCCCTTCAGTCTGAAGGCTCATGCTTTATCCACTGAGCCAAACCCACTAAGGCCTATTACTGCTTATTAATTGGTCATTCTTGTCATATCAATTTGTAATGTCACTTTTATAAAATATTAACGTTTATAAATTTATGGTTCTTTTTCTAGATTTTAAAATTTATTTCTTTGACCTTTTGGCCATATTTGTACCAATAATCAAATTATTTAAATTATTGTAGCTTTGTAGTACAGTTCAATATCTGATAGTGCAAATGCCCACATTCTTCCCTGCACCTCCCTAGAAGTTTCAAAGCAACTCTCATGCATTTTTATTCTTTCATGTCAACTTTAGAATCATTTTGTCAAATTATGTAAAACAAAACAAAACCTTTGTTATTTTCATAGGGATTGCATTGTTATATTTTGGAGGTTATAATTTTTTTAACCTAAAATAGTGATTTCATCCTATTGTTTTAAGAGTGGCTTTAACCTAAATTGTTACCTAAAACTTTTCAACTCTGTATAATCTAAAAAGATACATTATTGCCTGGCTGGTGTGGCTTAGTGGCTGAGTGGTAACCCATGAACAAGGAGTTCACTGTTTTATTCCAGATCAGGGCATATTTCTGGGTTGTAGGCTCGATCCCTAGTAGGGGGCGGCAGGAGTCAGCGAGCAATGATTCTCTCATTATTTATATTTCTATGCTCTCTCCTCCCTTCCTCCTTGAAATCTATAAAAAATATTTTTAACAAAATACAATTTTAATTTTTATTGGTCTGTTTAATATGTGCCTATTCTCCCAGAAGCTTTTGTTGACATGTTATACATATTTAATTGTAAACAGATTACATGGCATTTTTAAATGACACTAGCCTTTGTTTTCTTTGGTAAGGATTTGATATTAACATGTGATTTTAGATGACTGAAGCCTTTTTTTTCTCATTAGGTTTATTTTGTAAATTGTGATACATTTTAGATATCTTGCTCCTTTAGTTATGTGGCAATATTATATACTAGAGGCCCAGTACACTAATTCGTGCATGGGTGGGGTCCGGTCAGACCATCCTGATCATAGCCAATCAGGCCAGTGGGAGGAGGTGACATGGGAGGTTGGCTGGCCAGCCCTGCTCTGCCCCTGGTGGAACTCCCAGTCAAGGGAACAATTTGCATATTAGCCTTTTATTATATAGGATTACTAGTGTTTAGGACAAGGATAAAGACAGTCTACTCTGTGTTTTAATGCTAAAGATGCTTCTATAAATTATTTCCCTCAAATGTGATATGATTACTACATGGTTAGTACTGAATATTTTATCTAGAAAAAAGAAAGTTATTTTTGTTTTTTAATTAAATTAAAAAAGTTGCCCAGTGGTTGAGTGTCAACCTATAAATCAAGAGGTCATGGTTTGAATCCCTTTTCAGGCACATGCCCCGTTTGCAGCTCGATCCCCAGTGGGGAAAGTGCTGAAGGAAGCCAATTCTCTCTTATCATTGATATTTCTCTCTCTCTCTTCCTTCCCCTTTCTGAAATCAATAAAAATATATTTAAAAAACAACAACATACACAAAAATAACCCTAAAAAGTTAATAATGTCAGGTTTTTTCTCTTGACATGCAAAAAATTTCAGGATTCCATTCTGAAATCTATTCTGAGAAGATAGCAAAGATTGATCTGATTAACATTTTTAATAAATGATTATTGATTGTTGAAAATGCTAGTTTTTCCAGTAGTAACAGTATGTTTTGTTTCTTCTCATGCAGGTCTTTGAAGTTCTACATTTTAATTCTCAGTGCTGAACTTCTTCCTCCCTTAAATTATTATAAACTTTTGCTGCTGTTTAATAAACGTGAAGATGTCTCGCAGTCCTGATGCGAAGGAAGACCCTGTGGAATGTCCTCTTTGCATGGAGCCCTTGGAGATAGATGATATCAATTTTTTCCCTTGCACCTGTGGCTACCAGATTTGCCGATTTTGTTGGCATCGAATTCGCACTGATGAAAATGGGCTTTGTCCTGCATGTAGAAAGGTAAATACTTAAAAAAATATTTTTTGTACATGAGTATGAGTAAGTAAATTCTTGGTTTTGTTATTTCCCAAAATATGACTTTGGTTAAATCACATAACCTCTTGGTTGACTTCAGTTTGTCTGCTTAAGAGGAAAGAGCTTGACTTAGTTTGTCTGCTTAAGAGGATTAGGAGTAGAGAGGCAAAGAATTTAAATAGGATGGCATAAAATTGGAAAAACACATTCAATAGTATATCTGTGAGAGATATACTTTAATTTTCTAGTACAGAATAGGACAGACGTCTTGATATTTACTAAGATAAGTCATGGGTTAAAATGGCAGAAATTCTGGCTCAGAAGGTAATAATCACTCATTTCTTGATTCCTTATGATAATTCTAGGCTGATAATGCTATTCCCACTGTACACTTAAGGAAAGTGTGCCTTTGAAGAAACTTTTCCGTAGACTTCAACTAGTGATAATTGGTTTGTGATACAAATAAGTCTTTTGAGTCTCTTCTAACTCTTTAAAAAAAAATCTGTGTCAGTAGTTGAGTGTCTACTTATGAACCATGATGTCACGATTTGATTCTCAGTCAGGGAACATGCCTAATTTGTGGGCTCGATCCTCAGTAATGGGTGTGCAGGAAGCAGCCCATCAGTGATTACCTCTCATCATTGATGTTTCTATCTCTCCCTTTCTTTTCCTCTCTGAAATAAAATACATATATTAAATTAAAAAATATATATGATTTTTAATATTTTCTTTTTTTTTGTTTTAATAAGCAGGTGGTGAAACAGAGTATAGTAAATGATCTATTAGTATGAGTAGGATCACTGCATTTCTGTTTTAATAAAGGACTTTATTTGTGACCCTAATGCTTCATGCAATTATTTATTTTTGCCTTCTATTTAATGTCTGTATGATTTAAATCTTTATTTCTGTGTATCCATTTGAAAGAGCTCTTATGTAATTACTCCAGATTTTAAGAAAACAGACATGTATTTTAGATAACTAGATTATTTTTTATTTTTTTATTCCTTTCCTGAGGAATTTTATTTCAGAAGACAATACATTGTCTAGCTTTTTAAAAAATATAGTGGTTATTTAATATACATTACATGAATGTACAACAGATCTACTTAAGTGTTAATATAGTGTATATATAGATACACACATACACTGTATATAGTATATGTAACATGTAATAGATATTTATAGTTTATATTTAGTGTATATAATTTCATTTTTAAATAAAATCTTAACATTAGCTTTGGTTAACATCTATAATAAATTTGTGGTAATGGGTTTAAAATATTCAGTCATATTTTATAAATTAGTTCCTGGTCATTTCACAAGAAGATGATCATATTGAACTATTTTATTGATAGTGTTAACTTTCAGGATAACCCAAAACTCTAAGGCTGTGAATGTGATTGCCTTCATGACATTTATCTCTCTTTCTTCTCTTTCTCTCTCTCTCTCTCTCTTTCTGTATGGTTATGAAGTAGAGTTTTAATAAAAGACCAATTGTTAAATTATCATTAGACAAAAATCAGTTATTTGGGGAAATGGCAAAGAAATTCATTTCAATTTTAAGTGATTACCTAGAATTACCTCAAATCCCTAGAAAGTGGAGAAAAAATAGAAAAAATTAAAGATTAAAACAAAACTAACTTTAGCAAAGCTGGTTATCAATAAAGTGTGTCTTCCTGGAAAAACAAGGAAGTGTGAGGAATATGAAGGACAGAAGGTCATTGGGATCAATTTCAATAAAGAAGCATTAGCTAAAAAAACATACTCAGGAAAAACTGGAAGACAAAAAGGTAAGAATAGCAGTGCTTCAAGATCCTAGGAAAAATATCGGTGTAGTTGTTTGAGTATGGGGTTTGAGCACCATATGAGTCCAGCCCAACTTTTACACCACATAGGAGAGAAAATGCTCTCTAGCTGGAACATTGATTATAAATTTGGGATAGTAATACCCTAGAGGAACTTGGGTTGCCTATGGTCAGAAGATGAATTACTAACATACCCTGTCCAGGAATTTCTCTTCTGTACAGTCATGAAAGAGCATCCTGCAGTAAGAAAATAGCATTTATAGACTGGTTGACAGAATCCTTATATGTAAACATGTACAACAAATAAGATTCAACAGACATTTCAGAAAAACAAACATTATGAAAGAGAACAAAAATTAGTAAGTAGAAGAACTTAATATAAGTAAATAAACAAAAAAAAACCTTTAAAAGTGTCATTGGTATTTCTCAAAGGGGTAAGAGAGAATGACATATTCATGTAGAAAGAACATTTAAAAAATATATTTAGAGATGTTGAAAATGTATAATCTTATAGATGGCTGAAGAACAGAATGTATGTATTTCAAGATCAAATTAGTAAATTGGAAGATTTTGCTGAGTATTTTCTTGCAAAATATAGTGCAAAAAAAATAAAGTGAAATCATGAAAGAAAAGTGAAGCAACACAAAGATTTGGTTCTAATCTGCTAAGAGAAGTTTCAGCAGCAGTGAACTAAGAATGAATAGGGAGAAATAAAGAACTAAAAAAAATTTCTCATGATGAAAAGTAGTTACCTTTAAAAAGGCTCTGTGAGTATGAAGCAAGATGACTGAAAAAGGTCAACAACTATTTATATAATTGTGAAATTTTATTTTTACTTATTTTAATGTGAAATTTTAGGGTATCGAGAATAATGACAACTTTCTAAAGACTTATGAGAGAGAAATACCTGATTGCTGGATGAGGAAATTAGTCTGAGCTATTTCTGGGTGAGGTCTTGGGTAAAGACATGTTCTTTGTCCTGGAGGAATCTGGTGGAGAGCTTTGCATCCCAAAGCCACTCAGTGAATGTCCTTGATGTGTGATGCAAGGTTGTTGACATCATCGGGGATGTTCAGGGCAGCCGTGCTCCAGGATCCTCAGACATCAGGACAGCCTCCCCGGGAGGTCTACAGTCACATCCCCGCTTGCCATCTGCCTATGCCAGTTCCCCATGCTCTTTCTAGAACGTATCTTAGAAGGCCTGCATCAGCTGATAGGGTCAGGCCAGAGTCTGGATTGTCTCAGGTGAGACACGGCCTCATCCTGGGCCTGCTAGCAGCAGTGAGCAGCTGCTCATCCCAGTCAGCCAAGCAGTGCTCCCACTGTGGGAGTGCATTGACCACCAGGGGGCAGCTCCTGAGTTAAACTGTTGAATAAATGGGGATAGTCATGTCATAGCCTTTCTGGTCGTTCCGTTGTTCGGTCACTGGGTGTGTGTGTGTGTGTGTGTGTGTGTGTGTGTGTGTGTGTGTGTGTATATATATATATATATATATATATATATATATATATATATATATATACTAATAAAAGCCTAGGTGGCCCTTGCGCCCTCACATCATCACAAGATGGCCACCCCATGTTGTCACAAGATGGCTGCCATAAGATGGCTGTCATGGGAGGGCAGTTTGGGATGACCAGGCTGCCAGGGGAAGGCAGTTGGGAGTGACCAGGCAGGCAGGGCAGGGCAGCTGCAGGCCATCAGGCTGGGAGGGGAGGGCAGTTGGGGGTGAGATCAGGTCAGCAAGGGAGGGCAATTGAGGCAACGAGGTCAGCAGGGAAGAGCATTTGTGGGTGACCAGGTCGGCAGGGGAGCAGTTAGGCATCAGGCCAGCAGGAGAGCGGTTAGGGGGCGATCAGGCTGGCAGGCAGAAGTCATTAGGGCCAATCAGGCAGGCAGACAGGCAATTGGTTAGGAACCAGCAGTCCTGGATTGTGAGTGGGCAGTCGGACATGCCCTGAGCTGTCCCAGATTGGAGAGGATGCAGGCTGGGCTGAGGACGCTCCTCCAGTGTACGAATTTCATGTACCAGGCTTCTAGTATATAGATAATGATTCGTCATGAGATCATAAGAAAGAGGGTCAATAGAATTTTGATTTTCTAAGGATGAGTGCCAAGGCTCTCTAACATTTATAGAAAAAAATCCAGATAGAAGAAATATTAGCTGACCTCCTTTTGGGTCTCCAAGTTATAATCTTTAATTGAGGTAGTTTATTTATTTATTATCAGGGTGGTGGTGGTTTAAAAAAAAACAAAAAACCAGGAGTAAATTTGCAGAGTTTTTGTTGTTGTTGTTGTTGTTGTTGTAGGCTTAGTGGAACCACAGCTTCCAGAATCTCGCCTTCGTCTCTTGACTATAAGACCTTGCTTCTATTTCTCTCATGGCTGAAGTGGGTCATGGAAAGCAGACAATGTAGTCCACACACAGAATCTTAGAGACTGAGATCTGGCTTAGCCTTTCCAGAGAATGTGCTGAACACTATATTTGTGAAGCTACCTGTTTTAGGGACCAGCAAGTATTTATTTCTCTGGGGACTAGCCTCAGTGTTTGTATTAACTCAGAGGAAAACCATCAGGGTTGATAGAGGCCTGGAGAGGACTACGAAGCTACCATTTCCTTTAGTCCAACTCTGCAGGGAGAGAGCCTGCAGAAGTCGCTTTGGAGTACCACATTGGCATAATTAAATAAAATTGGAGATGCAGGTAGGGAGCTAGTTTAAGTAAGCTCCTGATTTTGGCTCACAGGGTGAAACCTGCCTGTTAGTAGAAAGGGCCTTTTTGCTTTAATAGCTTTTAAAAGCAGAGACATGGCAGGTTTTAAAGACCAAGAGAGTTTAGTGCTTCTGTTTGGTGCTAGTTGTTGAGTCTAATGGAATCAAAAGGACATAGTGCTTTCTTAAATAGTGGCATAGACTACCTGGTGTTTCTTTGGACTGCCTGTGTATGTTGTTTTAGTGCAGCATTTCTGAGAAAAATACATGGTGGGATAGCAGATGTGGGAACACAGGTGGTATATACTGACATAGCACTATATAGCATTGACTCACATGGAAATCAGACTGGCCAAATAAATGAAGACCTTAGCAAAGGTATTATTTTAATTTCAGAAATAATAGAAGATATTGCATTTATGAAATAGCAGCAGGATAGTATTAAAAATTTAATAAACAATAAGCATT